TAAAAACCGTTTTTTTTTAAGTTGAGACCAAATACTTCCAATTTCCAGGAATGTTTAGTGTAGTGCAAGGGTAATTAGTGTTCCTCATTTCTGAATACACTGTAAATTGTATGCAGATGCTTATGTAGGAACTCAAAAGCCCTTGGTCTGCTCTGTGATATAGGTTGATCCAGAACTGGTGGTCACGACATAAAATCAAGCGGGGAATACAAGATGCTTCCATACCTCAGTGGGAAAATGATTGGAATCTGCAGCCTATGAATATTCACGGACTAATGGATGAGTACTTAGAAATGGGTAAGGAAAGTACATTCTGCGGACTATTTGGACTTCCCGATATGCTTTTTCTACTCCACACGAGCTTTGGTTCAGGAGAGAAAACCATCTCTCTTTTCCAGTGCCAAGCATTCTAAAACACATCTGCATCTTCATCTCAACAGAGACAGGTGTTAAGCAGAGCCCTTGGAAGGCTCACGCATTTCATCCTCCGAGAACCATAACACTTGACCAGTATGAAACTTTCTCTCACAGTGGAACACCTAGCTTTTGAGCAAATATTTTGAAGAAAGAAAATAAAGCTGAATCAATTCCTATTTTAAGAAATATACCATCCTACCCAAATGAAGCAATAATTATTTTTCACAATAAATCTTTGCACAGATCCAGTCCAGCACTTAGCTTCTTTGAGAATCTTATTTATGTTAAGAAAATAAGGATTCCCATACTAACTGCTGGAATCACTGGTGTCACTTTGAAATTTGGTTTTCTCTGGATTTCAGTTTTCTCATCTATAAAAATAGAGGACACAATTAGGTCTCTTGGGTCCCTTCCAGAGCCAAGCATTTCCCTCCTCTTTGCCACCACCACCACCTTCTCCTTCCTCTTCTTCTTCCTATCCCTCCTCTTCCTCCTCTTCTTGCTACTCTTCTTCCTCTTCCTCCTCCCCTTCTCTTCCTCTCTGCCCCCTCCCCCTCCTCCTTTTTCTTTTTCTTCTTTCCCCTTCCTTCAAGCTGCATTATATAGAGATGGAAAGCACATAGACTTTAAATCCATTCAGGTCTGGGTTTGAATGCAGGTTTTAACATTTTCTAGCAATCTACCCTTTAGCAAGTTTACTTATCATGTGAACTAAAGTTTCTTCAACTGCAAAGTGAGATAAGCATATTTACTTTGTAAAGATGTTGAAAGGATTAAAAGGCAATTTATGTAAAGCACTTCATTGGGCACAAAGGAAGCACTCAGTAAATTATACTGTTTATATTATTAATTTTCTAATGCTCTCCTTTTACAGTTTTGCAATTTGGTTTTACCACCATCTTTGTTGCTGCTTTTCCTCTGGCCCCTCTTTTGGCTTTGTTAAACAATATCATTGAAATCAGGCTGGATGCATACAAATTTGTCACCCAGTGGCGGAGGCCTCTGCCAGCCCGAGCAACTGACATAGGTAAGATTCAGAAATTAAATGTTTTTTGTATTGCTAATGCCAAGAGATGTGCTATGGTTTGACTGTGTCCCCCAAAATTCATATGTTGAAACTTAATCACCAATGTGATAGTATGAAGAGATGTGGACTTTAAGAGGTCATTGAGTCATGAAGGCAGAGCCCTGTGGATGGAACTAGAGCATCTATAGAAGGGCTTGAGAAAGTGGGTTTATTCTCTCCTGCTCTTCCACCGTGGGAGAGCACACCATCCATCCCTTTTTGCTTTCCACCTTCTGCCATGTGAGCACACGGCAGCAAGGCACCATCTTGGAAACAGGGTCTCTCCAAACATTAAACCTACTGGGGCCTGGATCTTAGACTTTTCCAGTCTCCAGAACAGCGAAAAATAAATTTCTGTTTTTTATAAATTATCTAGTCTCAGATATTTTGTTACAGCAGCACAAAGTTCTAAGATAACATGGCTTGATCCTTCTTAGCATCATGTGGGTTTCTTTTGCAGGGGCTTCCTCCAACTGTAACAAAACTTACTCTGCATTCGGCTGTAATAAACTGTAGTTTTGCTATAGTCCAAGTATATTAGAAAGGAATTTCATGCTTTTTCTTTCTGGGTAATATTGCAAGGTTACCTTTTCAGTTATTATAAT